TTTTTTTTTTTTTTTTTTGGAGAGAATCCCGTAGTATAATCTATAATGCATATTTATTTATGTGTGGTTGAGTTTAGAATTCTTTAACTACTTCTAAACTTAAATTCATTAGTGGAGAAGTTACCGCCGTAATATTTTTTTTAAGAGAATCTCGATGGTATGAGAGAAGCAATATCTAATTTATTGGTGCAACGAATGTAAAAATACTAACGAGAAAAACATGTGTCTTCATTAATTCAACATTTCACACTGATGGAAGCTTTGGAACCACATAACGAACTTTTGTTTTGCAACCTGGGAACTTTGACAGATGCAAAAGCGCGTGCAATGCAACCCCTGCCAAATATGCAGATCATGGATTCTTAATGAACTCAACATTCACTTCACAGTGGTGGAAGCTTTGGAACCACAGAGCAGGATATGGAATTTTGCTTTGTTTTGTGTTTCCAAAAATATTTGGCAGAAACAAACAAACAGCATGTATAGTACACCATTTTAATTAGAGATGATAAAAAAGAAAGAAGAGAAGAACATGATTAATTGGATACGTTTCCTCTCTCTAACCATCTGGTTGATTTTGCTTACCTTGGGGTGCTGCTGCTGCTGGGCATGCTGCACTCAAAGTTCAAACATGACTGCCAGCACTATCAGCCTTGTGTAGCAACTCTTTCTCTTTCTCTTCTTTGATCCCTAATCTCTCATCTCTTTTCTTCAACTTTCTGTAACCTACTTTCTTGCCTGAGGAACACTTGAAATAATTACCATGCTGATCTTGCTTAGCTGCTTGCCTGAGCCTACCCTCTCCTTCACCAACTTCACATGGAAGTAGTAATTCATGATGGCTACTTATTGGGCCAGAGGAGGCATCTGAAGCCATGGAGTCATCACTCTCGTCATCATCAAAATATTCAAGAATTGCTTTCTTGTCGCTGTTTTTCTCACCCCCTTCTTTGGGATCACTAATTTGATAAACATCATTGGTTTGAGTGTGGATTGGGGAGCCAATATACATTGTCCACCCAGACTCACTGCCACTCCATTTCTCTGGTTCAGCTCCTACAACTTGGGAAGACTCCATTAAGACACACAAAGGAAGCTAGCTATAGACCAAAATTAAGTATAAAGTTAGAGCCTACCTGCAATGTGTGTGTATATTACATGATGATCACTGTATGTGCAATTCTCAACATTATCAGGAAATGCATTTATATCTGTGTCTCTTTATTATTTCCCTTCAACAAAAGAGGCAGTTTTTCACACAAAAGGACAACCAAACCCATCTCAACAGTAGCATTTGAAGAAGCCTCCTCACTTCCCCCTCATTATTGAATTGCCAGGATGCATGTATTCCACCTGGCAAACCTATCCCCATATTTTTCACTGTTTCAAACTGATTAAATCACTACAAGACAAGCTTCTGGGGGTAACGAGAGATATCTCTTGGGGTAAAAAGAGATTCTATCTTTGGAGCTAGGTTAAACAGTGAAGCACACAAGTAGGAAATAATTGGGCACCCAGCTAACTTGCCATCAGCTCTTTCACCTGAAATAGACAACCTTTACTTCTCTGTGTACCTTATAAATAATGACCAGCTTTTTCTTGGGGAACAGATGGGCTCTTATTTACGTATATGTATTTTATTTTCTCTTGGTTCTAATGGGAGGTGAGTATTTTTCTCTTTGAGAGTCGAAAATGTACCTTCTAATTAAATTTTCTTTGAATTCTCTGTTCCATCATCAAGAAAGAGCAGCTTTTTCCTGTGAAAGTTACAGAGCATGTTACCAATTTAAAGTCTTGGCATTTTGCATTGGACTGGAATGGATGAGGAGAGGGGAACAGGTCATTTAATTTCATCCCTACCAAGCTTACTTTTTTCTTTTGTCTCTTCTCGTAACTTGATACTAGGTACAGTTTTTACATCTAACACAAGCAATAATACTAGTGTATATATAGTCGTTTATACACCCAAAAGAAAATACTGGTGTAAAACAAGTGTTGCAGCTATTTTTTTATGTCTGCTATGCTATATTTGACAACATTGTAGTGGAAAGAGACCTTTTCCAGTTTCATTAGATCAAAAGAGAATCACTTGCAGGGACATTTCAAATCAATTTAGCTGAAACAGCTGCCCTCACTTCTGTCACATTGTTTGGACAATTACACAGTTCTCATGATGATCATTTGGCTATGGCCGGCCGGAGGAAGGAAGAAAAAGGAGAGGGGAAAGGATGGATTTTTTTTTGGGAGTTTCACTAAAACACCCAAAATGGAGGTTGAAATTATAAAAAAACCCAACACCCAAAACACTTTATAAACACACCCAAAACCCATCATTACACACACTCAAAACCCATTTATAAACACACCCAAAAAGTTGACTTTGTGGTTGATTTTGGGTGTGTTTCTATGTTTAAATAGTGCTTGGGTTTTTTTATAAATACATGTCTAGGATTGGGTTTATTTATAAATTTGTATTTTTTTTTCTTCTTTGGCCCCCGGTGTTTTCAGTATAGTGAAGGGTAAAGATGGGTTTTCAATTTTACAAAAAAACAAAAGATGGGCACAAAGGTAATTTTGATTTCTTTTGTTATGTGACTTTACTTTCTCTAAATAGAAGCATCCCAACATATGTTAATTTTTGTCTGGCCATTATTTTTGAACTAATGATTCAAATCTTCTGTAATAATTGACTTTTATGAAATGAATTGATAGTCTGATATATTATTTTCATTCTTTTAGTACAAGCGATAATCTAAACTAAAAAAAAGGAACATTTCACACACACACAAATAATGTCATGGGAGTTTGAATCTGAGACCTCTGGTTATATAGAACAAATGGCTGAGGCAACATCGCACACGCAGAGGCAAAATCGGTAATATACAAGTTTGGGCCCCAAGCTCTGATTGATTGCTTTATTAAGTTATTATTGATATGCAAGTTAAGACTCTTTTTCACTAAACTAGACCTCATTGATAATATATTCTCCTCCTAAACTTGAACCAATTTATAAGATAGTTTATTTTATTTTATCCAAGTGCATAAGATTAGTATCATGAAATAAGAAATGATTTTAAAAGCTGAAGCAGGTGCAATGTGTGGCTTGTTTTAAAAGAGGATATAATGATTCCCAATCTTGTAATTAAAAACCAAAAAAGTCGCAATCTTTGTCAAACCACATTAAAGAGATTCTTAATGCCAAATTCATCAAGGAGCTTTTATTTCAGCTCATTTTTGTTTCATCCAAACCACAATAAATCCTTGGCTTTCACAATCACAAATTCCCCCAAGTGTTACAAACCCTAAAAATGGGTAGGCCCATTTAGGCCATTGGCACGTGGCGCACAAGAAAGTGATCTTCAGCTCCACACAATCAGCATCACATGGTGGCATGGCATCTATATTCAAGTCCACAGTGCTCCCAAACTCAAAGGGGCAATTTCGCCGAACATGAAAGTTAAAGTGGCAAGCAAGTCAGAGAATCAAAGAAAACTAAGGGCGATTATCGTAAGGCCACTAGCCAATTAAATATTCTTAAATTGACAAAAATAATAATTATATTCTTGAATGGTCTGGGACTGATCCCACTCCCAAGTCCTAAACAGAACTCTGCTGCCTCAAAGTTACAGCCCTTTTTAGAACAACAAAGAGAGACCTGGATGCCTCTGCTTCTCCATCTGATCCAAAGCTAGCGACTTTTCTGTCTCCTGGGAAAATTTTGGATCGCAGGAAGTAAAATCCGAGATGGGTTTGACTGAATACTTGAGGTCAATCGATTGGGAGCAAGAAGCGTACCCAGCATATGAAGATTTCACAATTCTTCTTTTGTTTATCCTCTACTTCCCAACTGTCCGATTTTTTCTGGATAAATTCGTCTTTGAGGTACTCACTCTGCTGTACATCCACATAAATTTGATTGGAGTAGCTGAAGTTTCCATCTTTTGTAGTTTACTGATGTGCTAACTTTGTTTTATTAGCTCGTCAATGATGTACATGACCGGAATGCACTTGTATTTTGATGGGTTGTGTTTGGTTTTGGATTGTTTGATAAGCATACTTTAGTTATTGGATATCAAATTGTTCAACATGATATGTTATGATCTTTATTTTTGAAGAGATTTGACTGGTCGATGGCCCATGGTTTGATGCTGTAACTAAAATCAGCTGGGCTATTTGAGAGTCAATGTTTGTTTGCCCTGTCTTTGAGTTTTCTTTAGATCTTCTTTCTGCTTCTTGTTGTATATTCTCAATCAACTAAAGGGAGATAAAGAGAACAACTTGTTTTATATGGAAAGTTGATAGGGTTCTAGCACCTTTAGAGAATGAGAGCTGCTTGTTAATGAAGACGTTAAAGATTGAAGAAAGGTCGTTTAAATTAGTCCAGGGTAGCTTTCATTTGCATTTCTTTTCATTTACACCTTCATTTAATTTCTTCATTTTTTTATCTACTGCTACTTTGATATGTATTCATAATCAAGAAATGTGAATGTGATTGCATTTATTTCTCAAAATATCTTTATTAGCTCTGTATAAATTGAAATTACATATTGCAGAGATTGGGGAGACGGTTAATTTTTGGAAAGGGACATCAGAAGCTGGATTTACAATCTGAAGAACAAAGGAAGAAGATTAGAAAATTCAAGGAGTCAGCATGGAAGTTCACATATTTTCTTTCAGCAGAGCTTCTAGTCCTTTCTGTAACTTATGATGAGCCTTGGTTTACTGATACAAAATACTTTTGGGTAGGGCCAGGAGACCAGGTCTGGCCTGACCAGAAAATGAAGTAAGAATTCTTAAAATTAGAATATATGTTACATGTGTGTTTGTTTAGTTAAGACATTCATATGTGATGAGATTGACACTGTTGTACTGAATCATAGTTTGACTAATATCAAGAACTGAGCTTTATGAAAGTCTATAAAATGACTACTTATGAATTTCAGGTTGAGATTGAAGGGAGTTTATATGTATGCTGCTGGATTTTACACATACTCCATATTTGCTTTGATTTTCTGGGAAACAAGGCGTACAGATTTTGGGGTGTCCATGGGCCATCATGTAGCAACAGTCATTCTCATTCTGCTGTCTTACATTTTCAGGTATGTTCTCATGGATTGAGTTTGTAGCCTTCTCATGTTCTTTTAGTCACAAAACCAAGGAAGCAAGAATTCTACAACCTACCAAAGGTATGAAGGAGGGCTTATTTGAAGTCATAACTTATTAGTGTGTCATCCCCCTACCATACCAGCACCATGTATATTAGGGTTAACACATCGAAGGAAATAGAAATGATACTATGTTTTACACAATACATTTCATTTAATAATTTTCCTATTATTATCTGTTTCTTGCAGGTTTGCCCGCGTAGGTTCAATTGTTTTAGCTCTTCATGATGCTAGTGATGTGTTTCTGGAGGTTGGGAAGATGTCCAAATACGGTGGTGCTGAAAGGACTGCTAGCTTTTCATTTATTCTTTTTGTATTGTCTTGGATCATACTGCGTCTCATTTATTATCCATTCTGGATCCTTCGGAGTACAAGGTTCGTCTAATTTGATACCTAAATTATACTAAACTTGTTTGATTTTCTATAGCTCCTTCATGTTTGTCTTCACCAGGGTCATAAATTAGTGGGTTCAGGAGAATATATAAAAGTGACTTCTCATCTTTTAGTTCTTGTTGGAATAACAGACTTAGTAGTGCTACAAGATGTTTTTTCCTAATGTATGTTCAGTAAATAGTAATGTCAAACTCCAGATAATGTTTGTTTTAGAAGCAGCAGTTTTGTGAAGTTCTTAATGTGTAGAAGAAAGGTTTTAAGGATGACAATGTCATGTCATGTGCAATTTTAGATCCCTTAGTTAGAGACAAGTATATATTGCAACAAATCCCTTCATATAAAATGTAAGAGAACATGTTTGTATAAATCGAAAAGCAACCTATTGCATTTATGCTTTAAACTCAATTATTCATATGTCTATTTTGTATTGCTTCCTTCTCTTTCTGGCAGCTACGAAGTTATCCTGGCATTGGACAAGAACAAGCATTCTATCGAAGGACCAATATATTACTATGTGTTCAATACTCTTCTGTACTGCTTACTTGTTTTTCACATTTTCTGGTGGGTGTTGATTTATCGGATGCTTGTTAAACAAATCCAAGCAAGAGGGCAGCTTAGTGATGATGTGCGGTCAGGTGAGTGAAAATCATGTTTGGTAGATGGTTTTCTAGGTTATGCATGCACATAATTGGATAAGTTTTAAAACAACAATTAATTCCTCTGGAAGAAAATGTTGAGGGATTTGGAAAATAACCATATTGGTATCGACAGTCATAAAAGGGATAGATGATAATGAAGGATGAATGATTACTACTCATTTGTGGTAACATATGCACAAACTTCCTTGATTGCACCCTCCGAAGGAGCACTACAGTGAGCTAATACTTTTACTGCAATTCTATTTTTGTGATGGGCAGCGAAAGAGTTGGTTAGGCTACTATTACAACAGTACCGTGATGACTTGACTTATTTATTGGTTTAGCATTTGTGAATGATACAGTGTAAAGTTAGTTAGATGGTTTGGGGAGTCTAAGTGAATGCATCATATGTAAAACAGTTTTTTATAATATTAATAGGCTTCATTGAGAAGAACATGGTGCCTTCAGTACAGTAGTTGTCAGTGATTTTATTTTATGACCTGGTGTCTTCTATTGTTCCTCTTAATTTGTTGCCTGATCTTTGTTTCCTTTGCCTATCATTTCTTCCCTGTGTAGATTCTGAAGGTGAAGACGACCATGAAGATTGACCGGGAAACACAATGTCACCCTCAGGCAAAGGTGCTCCACAATATTGGGGAAGCCATTGGGATTCCCCAAGAAAGAACCCACATTCTCATATTGCATTCATGTAGAATAAATTTGAGGCCGCTGTTTCAAAATTCTAGTAGGATATGTCATACGCAAAAAGAAATGGGACACATAAAGTGATGTCCTCAGATGTTGTGTATGTTTTTTTTCACTTTGCTAGTTAGACTGAGGAATGCTGTTTCATGTGATTTGTCCTGCAGATGGGGAACGTCTTACGTTTACACATTTGATGTACTCTTTCGATGGTGAAAAAGATTATGGTCAAAGAAGTGCATCATGACAGAAAAAATTGTATGTTAACTGAGATAAGATATGGAAGCTGTGCAGGTTGAAGGAATAGAATGGCAGAGGGAGAGAAGTTTAACTATTGACTGAGCTTTTGGCCCATTTGCTGCCATAAATTTGAGTCTGGTGACATGATTAATGTATTGCAAGGAATTTGATATGTGATTGGAACTGGTTATAACTGTACACCTTTTCAAGTCAGCTGTAAGGTCTTGTGAATGCAATGGATCATTTATTTTCTGAAGTGTCCGTATTGGAACATGATTTTTCTTTTCTTTTTCCTTTGAGTGATTGATTGATGGTCTAAGCGATCTTTACATTTTATTTTATTGTTTTAGTTTTTTCCATGACTTTGGTTTCCATATGTTGGACTTTTAATTTACTGAATTTTTGAGAGGGGTGGTGGTTCCAGACTTCCCACAGAGATTACCCAAAAAATATTATATACATGCAGTACCTAATTGTAGATTTTGTTCTTGTCATTTTCTTTTTCTTTTGAGGCAGATTCTTTTTCATTTAAAGAGAAAGAAATGTGAGTTAAAAAGAGATAACAAATGAAGCTGCTGTTGATTACTGTACTGATACTCGCAAGATATTTTGTGACATTTTCTACTTGCATTTATCATGTTGACACTATTATACGACACCGTTTTCGTATGTCAAGTTTAATGGCTAAAAATCCGACCAGAATTTGAACTTATAAGTTGTTAACTCGGTGCGACGTCGTTTATTATTACGCCGCACCTTCTAACTAGATAGACAAGCGGACTTGAAATTCAAACCTAAAAATTTACACGCCATGGAAGATGTACTGACAGAGATTCCGCCACCTTCGAGGTTCTTCCAGGAAGATCTCAACAACTTCACACCTCCATCACCACCCCTTCCCTCGCCTTTCCTCTTGCTCTCTCAAAACCCTAACGAGGCTGCAGAGCCGCCTCTTCGCCCTTCTCTCCTCATCGTCGCCCTTTCCTCCCCATCTCTCCATCTTTTCCACAACGTCTCCTCCAAAACCCTAATCGGAACCCTAGTCCTCCCCGAGAACCTCTTCTCCGGAAACTCCATTAACCCCTCTCTCAAAGACAAGTCTTGCAACATCTACTCTCTCGATCGCCACCAAAACCCTAAAAGCCCAACCCTCCTCGTCTCCTTCCAGTGCCCAATTGTCGCCGAGAGATGCCACGCCGTGGCCAAGTTGCTCATTTCTCAGCAGATTGTTCCTCAGAGGGTTCTGATTCTGGACTCGATTCAGAGCCGGAACTTCAGAGGCAAACTTTCGAGGGATGAGGCGGTGGCGTTCAAGCTGGAGACGACCTCGGAAAGAAAGGCCCCATCTTTGAGCTTGGAGTACTTTCCGTCGGCCAGCGTCGTTGATGGGTTGGGCGCGGCTCTCCTGGCTGCGTGTGAAATCAACAACATCAAGGCAACGCTTTGTGTGGCATGGCCTCAATTTGGTGCTTCAGTGCTGTCCCTGATCAGATCCCTCATCTTTCCTGCGTTGGATTTGGATTTGAGCATTAGCCCTGGTGTTGATGATTATGTGATTTTAGGACAAGATAAGGATCACCATCAACCTTTTGATTCCGATTTGTATACTTGATGTTAAAAACTTGTTTTGGGTTCAATGTCAAGTTCATCTTTTGAATGTTTGAAAAATGTCTCTACTTTCTTTGTAATAATACTGAATCTTATGGCTATTGCTGCTATCTGTAATGGCTAAATCAAACTCAAATCAAAGCCTGTATTTAGTTATGGATGATGAGTTCAGGAAATTTCATTGGAACCCAAATTGCAAACCGGTTCTCCAAATCTTGTCAATGAGAGCTTTCAAAACATCCTTCCCCTGTTCATTAGCAAATCTTTGCCTGCATATGCTTCAATCAAAGAAGCTGAATTGTGCTTGTTTAACACAAGGGTTAATTCATGACATATTGATATTTGAGTGCAAGCATGTGGCCTGGAGACAATCTGAAAATGATATGTCGGCTTAGATATGAAGTGCGGAAGATTGCATTTGCATTCTTGTCTGTAAAGAAACAGGGACAAGGATGGCGTGCAACTTGACCACAAATTCTGCCAGAAACAAAAATGAAATTCGACTTTTTCAACCAGAACTTAATTGCAAGAAATCAATAACTAGAATTATACCCTATGCATAAAGCACACCACAGTTTAACCTAATCCTTCAAATTGGACCATCCAACCGATGAAGTCCATGCCAAATAAGAATGAGAGAAATAATTAATCCTCAAACTTTTGACTTTTGTTGTACCAGACTAGATTAATATATGGGACCATTTTCTTTTACTTGAAGATGATGGTATTTTGCAGCTGGGTCCGATTCACTGTTAGATCAAGAAACTGAAGCTTGTCAGAAGGTGAAAGGGGGTTAAGCATTAGCTGTTATTGTTTTTTGTTTGGTGGCTGCCGCAATCTTCTTACGTAATATACAAATGGAAAAAGCAACACGTCTTTTCACCCTCTGCTTGTGATATTGGAAACTCCTTCCTGGTGGTTGCATCCTCTCTTGACTATATCTTCATTCAAAATACTCAAACTTCCATGCAAAATTATTCACGCATTTTTTTCTACTTATATATATATATATATATATCTCACAGTCCCAACCATCTCTCCCACTCTTTTCAGTTGCCCAAGAAAGCCACAAGCAGCAAAACATGGCACCTTCCCTTTGTTTCAGAACCTTCATTCTTCAATTCATGCTTTTGGTTTTCTCCATTTTGAACACCAGTTTGCAAGCAAGTGAGCCTCCATTGACATTGGACTACTATGCATCTGCATGTCCTAATTTGTTCGATATTGTAAAGAAAGAAATGGAATGTGCAGTGCTCTCGGATCCTCGCAACGCTGCCTTGATTGTTCGGTTGCATTTCCATGACTGCTTTGTTCAGGTCCTTAATGTTATTTATTGATGAGTTACATAGGATTTTTGTTTCTCATCATGCAATATTTTTCAATGATCATTATTTTGTCGTAGTTTCAAGTTGCTGCTGTATACACTTCAGTACTATAGAATTTATAGAAATTTAAGAGAACCATATTTGATTTACTGAATCATGCACGCAGGGATGTGATGGGTCAGTTTTGCTCGATGACACAATCACACTAACAGGGGAGAAGAAAGCTTCCCCCAACATACACTCTTTAAAGGGTTTCAGAATTATTGACAAAATCAAGAACAATCTCGAATCAGAGTGCCCTGGAATTGTCTCTTGTGCCGATATTCTCACAATTGCAGCAAGAGATGCTGTGATTCTGGTACTAATTAGAAACTCTTATATATATACATATGAGTTCCATATATACCACCTACTAAAAATCTCTCTGATATATTTGTGTCAAGTCTTATTCAAAGCAGAGGTTTTAGCCTTGTTTCTTTGTTTTCACCGTGCAGGTTGGTGGACCTTATTGGGATGTTCCTCTGGGAAGAAAAGATTCTATAACTGCTAGTCCTGAGCTTGCAGAGGCTAACCTTCCTACTGCTAATGAGGGCCTTGCAACTATCATTTCCAAATTTCTTTACCAAGGCCTGTCAGTCACAGATATGGTAGCTCTATCAGGTACTTGAGAAAAGGTCCAAATCTTATTGTATGTGATGTGACATTCCTCTTGCAACATGTACCTCGTAAAAGGGCCTTGTAAATATCATATTCATAGCATTATTCAGGATTTGATTTGGTAATTAAGTGATGCATTTCCTATTGAACATTTTGTGCATAATCAATCTTTTAGGGGCTCACACAATCGGCATGGCACGGTGTGCGAATGTCCGGGCAAGGATTTATGGTGGTGATTTTGAAGCAACCTCAGGAAGCAATCCTCTGTCTCAGTCATACCTCAGCAGCTTGAAATCCACATGCCCACCTGTTGGTGGAGTTGGGGACAATAACGTTACAGCCATGGACTATGTGACTCCTGACCTGTTTGACAATTCTTTCTATCATTTACTATTGAAAGGGGAGGGTTTGCTAAGCTCAGACCAGGAAATGTACTCTAGCCTGTTTGGCATTCAAACAAAGCAACTTGTCAAGCAGTATGCAGCAGACCCAGCTGCTTTCTTCCAGCAATTCTCAGATTCAATGGTGAAGCTGGGAAATATTACCAATCAGGACAGCTTTGCCACTGGAGAAGTTAGGAAAAGTTGCAGATTTGTGAACACATGAGCTGCTATGCTGCAGTTAGGCCTCATGAGGGAAAAAAGAAAAGGGTTCAGTTGGCAAACCATATTTATTTGTTATTACAAGAAATGATTAAAGATTTACAAGTTTTATGTTTGAAAGTTAATGGAAATTGGTGCTTATCCATATTCATAATCTATCTTGACCCAAAAGGGAAAAAAAAAAGAATCTAATACAGATGATAAACTACTGACCCAAAAAATAAGAAGAATGTGCTCTTTACTCTGCACTTAAGTTCGAATCCCCATCCTAGTAATTTAAATTAAATTAAAATAAAATATCACTTGTATAAAAATAAAATAAAAACTATAATGTACCATGAAATAAATCAAGCAAAGATGGGTGGGTACTATCATGGGCCTCTCCAAGCTTAACTGAGACTTGATGGGCCAAGTTTGATCAAACAGGTTGAACAAAAAGAGGAAAGGTTCAACGAAAGTTAGGAGCTTAAAAGTTGGAGTTTCTTTTGACTGTTACTCTTTAAAGAGGTAAAAGCACTTTTTGGACATTATATGTTGATTGACAAAGATTCTTTCCATATCTACAGAGAGAGTTCAATCATGCGCCATCTTTGTTTTCTTTTTGGTTTTCCTCAATCTCGGAATTGGGTTTTCAATTAATGATCGTAAGAATTAATTATTTGAACCGTGAAAGCTACAAAAAGCAACATATGGATCCCAATAAGAAAGAGATGATGGCTTCTGTTACTGTTTCCTGGTGAGTGAAGGCTACGGGAGTAGAAAATATGAAACATGAACGACATTGTTTTGCTATTTTCGACGAATTACGCTATATTAAGTGAAAAAGTTATTACGTCTGACATAGCATGATTGGCTGAAAATAGCAAAACAGTGTTATTCATGTTGCACACAAGTGTTTCTCCTAAGGGAGGGAGAGCAAGCAATGCAATTATGCAATGCAAGGGCCCCATTAACACTTTGGTCGTCTAACATGTGCATAGACAACACCCAAGCCTTAGCCAAGTGGTACGACAACATCACGCAATTTCCATAGAGAAGATATTGCTTTATTATATGCTCTTCCTGCTGCAACAGTAAGATATATATGTTTGTCTGGCATTCATGATTCATCCCCCTTGGATATATTGTGAGGATGTTGTGTTACTTTTGGGAATTTCTCCCCACCTTTGCTTTTAGTTTTGGCAATTTGTCAAATTATGGAGATGAATTTAAGTAGGAATTCGAATCAGTACTGTCCTTGCCTAGCTAAACTTGCTATAGCCGTGGAAAAATTTTTACCTTTCAAGCGGAGGGGAGCAAAATTTTGACCACTATAATCGACGACATAGAGGAGTTTACAACCAAACAACTGTTAATAGCGCCATTGAATTCCAATGTCAGTCCCAATTTTCCAAAAAAATAAAATAGAAAACAATTGACTCTTCAATGTCATGGTCACGGTGTAAATCAATTTAATTTCAAATGTTCACATTTGAAGTCAATTTTGTCATAAGTGTCACGATACATGTCTGTTTAGTTTCAAGTATCAATAATTAATCTCAGTTTAATTTATAGTATTACGATGATGCATGTCAGTTTAGTCAAAAATGTTGTGCAAGTTGGTAATTCATATCATAGTCTAAAAACTTCAAATTTTTAATAAAATAAAATGACCCTCCTTGTAAGATTGGAAACGCTTACATGATTGACAGAGACTATTCCAAGTCCACCCCAAATAGTGGGTCTACCTTACCTCAATCCAACCAATACCAACTAGTTTGAATTGGTCAGGGACAAGAAGAAAGGAGAAAGAAAAAAAAAAGTACTTTATGATTTTTGAGGTCATATGGTGGTTGACAGAGATTCTTTCTTTCTTTCTTTGAAGCTACAAGGTTGAATGAATGTGTCATCTTCGGTAATTCTAATATTTTCCTTGTTTTTCTTATGGTTTTCCTCACACACTCTCGGAATTGTTGCTTGTAACCATGGAAGTGCTGTGTGTGTAGGGTAGCGATTAGCACTTTGTTTGGAAAGAGAAAGAAAGATACTGATTGGGTTTTTCGGGTGATTGGTGGCTTGGATCGGGCAGGCGCTGTCTGTCAATTTCAATAAATTTCTTTATCTTTTATACCTTTTAGTCAGCGGCTGAGAATCCCTTTGTCAATTGTGCATTAAAGAGCTCTCACTTTTTTTTTTTTCCCGAATATGTTTAGATTGCTATTATTCCAATTTCCGTTGAGTTTTGAATTAATCATCATAATCTGTTGATAAAGATAAACACGAGATTTAATATTCAATCACAATAATAATTCCATTTGGATTGAGTTATTAGAAAATTTTACGTCTGGATAACAAAGTATTACCGTCACGCTAAATAATTTTTTCTTACTGATTTCCTCGCGGTTGGCACGGGCACTGCCCATGTTACATTAGCACAAGAGCATGGTATACGACCTTGCGCCTCTTGAGGCAGGCAAGGGCCACCCACCCACCGCGGCTTATAGAACATATGCAAAGCAAATGCGAGGGTCCCAATTGACGCTTCTTTTTCATGTAAACTTGGTGGGTGCATAAAGACTTAATTAGTAATTGCAAGATCATGCCATTGATATTCGTACATACCCATTGGATGGGTGAGTTGATACTTGACAAAGCAGGGATATGTTTGTATTTATACTTTTTTGCGAAGCTTCTCTCAATTTGGCTTGTAGGTTTTGGAAATTTGCCAACTATGAAAATGAGTTGAAGTAGGAAAAACTTGCCCAACTAAACATGATGCAAAGCATGTTATGCGAGACACACACCACACAATCATCCACGCAAATGAATTTTGATCACAATTTGGTAAACGTACAAAAATAATGAAAATGCTAATAGGCATCCAATGTCTTCCATTGATTGATGGATAACAAAAACTAGGAGCCTAATGTGTTGTATTGCATGTTAGTTTAATAGTTTTGTTACACAAGGTTAATAGGCACTCAACCCAAATGCTACTGTCAATTCTATTTCTCCATTTATAGAAGAAGAAAAAAAAGGAGAAGTAAAAAAAGGAATACGCATACATGTCGTCTTCTCGGCTGCAAACATGCTAACAATTTTCAACTTAAAAGTATACAAACCAAATTTTATATTCAACCCTATTTCGCTATCATAAGACATGTTATATGGTAGTTTCGTTACCTTTTGTGTTAGAAAATACGACACTTAGTGTTAGTCATGTTTCTTCCTTGATTAATAAAAATGAAAAATAATAATTATCTCGTGGAACAACGCATGTTAAAAGAAGAGTTTCGATATGATTCGTGTCAGAAAAATGTACGTTTTTTTCGATAAAAGATTCGCCTAAAAATGTCTTTTCTCCGTAAAGTTGTGTACAATTTCCAAACTAAAAAATTAGTAGAAAAAGAAAAAGTAGCGCAACCCAAACTCTTCTAGTAGTTTAGGAAAAGTAGAGTCCTTGTCTATTGCTGTAAATGTCGAAAAGAAAATTTAAAAAATTTATTATAATTTTGTAAATATGCAAATAAATTGAAGTATTAAACACCTCTCTTCTCGTCTCTTCTTCTTAGACTGCTCTCTTTCTCTCTCGATAGTTTGCGGTTTCTTAAGAATTCCCACTTCCCAACAAATCCAGAGGGAAAAAGAATCACACTCCTGTCTATTCCAGGAAAGGAAAAATATCAAGGAACATTAAATATTGTTAACGAGAAAGAAACCGACCTTCATAGGGTGGCCAGGCTTCTGAGTTATCGTTGCTGAACTCACTTCCACTCCTTTGCCCGCATAATAAGTGAGTCCGTCACTGCACCCATCACCACAAGCACACACATTGGTTTGGTTTTGATCCATATCATCTTTGGAAATTTTACTCTATGCTTGGGTATTGGTTCTTTTGCCATTGCAATTTCTGGGTAATCATTAGTTTTTTGTTATTTGATTCGTGTTTTGTTGTGGCGGTTTGCTTTGGCACTCGCTGTTAGATCCAAACAAGGCGTTAGAACAGAGTTGTTAAGCCTGTTTTACAAGTTTTTGTCTGTACGGATGTGTTTTTGTGTTGATTTTCTCTTATGCGCATGTTATGTTTGTGATTGTGTTAACTGGGTGATCCTTAATTTAAGATTCTGTGATGGTGGATATGGTTTGGATCAAGATTTTGTCCAGTGTATATTTGGAGCTACCAAAAATGTGTCTGCTGCTCTGTGATATGTGAAACAAATTAGTTAAAACTTATGTGATGGCAACTGACCAAAAATGTGTCTGCTCTGTGATATGTGGAACAAAGGAGCTAATGTTTTCATGGGAATGGCTTAACTTCGTGATATGGGGTTTTAAATGCTCCAATTTCTTTATTCTGCACGGAAACTCGCAAGTATACACTGGGTTAAGGTTATAAGTTAGAGATGAGAACGTTGAACATTAATATTGAATGTCAGCATAGCTTTACCTTTGCTTATTAGAGTGTACCTTATGCAGCGTTCAGTGAATTCTTAGACAATGGTTTTAGGCTTAGTGCTGTCAAGTTCTCGAGTTTAATACTGTTGCAGTAATTCTCAACATTTAGTCAACAAAATTAGCAACATTAAAAACTGATCTAGTACGACACGGGTTTGTTAGGCCCTTACTGTGCTTCATCAATCAGAGGCATACCATACCCTGAGTCAATTCAGAAGCTGAACCATTTTTGAAATTTTTTGTTTATGTCCTGAAGTTATTAGCAGGAGTAGTTGTACTTATAATCAGTGCTGCAAACAGTTAATGGCCTAGGTTTGGCAAATTGTCCCTTGGCGTGACAGTCATACCTCACTAATGCTTAAATATTGCAGTTCCTTAACTTTTGTATGCCATTAATTTCTCAAATTTCACCTATATTGCAACATAATCTGCATCCTGTTTTTTGGGCCAAATCAGCATTCTTATGTGTGCTCAGGTGTGTGTATGCGCACGTATGTATGTTACACTTCGTTGAGTAACTAGAAGTAGAAGCATTCTAGTCATGAAGAAGACTGTGCTGGTGACCTGCTATTTAATTGTTACATTTTGCCTCTCAAGCTTGCACACTCACATTCTTTAGTTGTGCCATTCATGTTTTTGATATTTTATCATTTTATATCTCTTTCTCTTTTTCTTTTTCTTTTTTTCTCACCAGAGGGTGCCAGCATAATATTTATGGCTCAAGATATGTCTGGTGTTGATTCACACCAAAGACGGCAAGGCCTTCTAAAAGATCAAGTTCGATTGGTTAAGAAAAAGGATTCTCATTATGAGATTGTGCCAATCCAAAGTCCCTTGTCATTTGAGAAGGGTTTCTTTATAGTAATCCGTGCATGCCAATTGTTGGCCCAAAAGAATGATGGGATAATATTGGTTGGAGTCGCAGGTCCTTCTGGGGCTGGAAAGACTGTGTTCACAGAAAAGATACTCAACTTTATGCCCAGTGTTGCTGTCATATCAATGGACAACTACAATGATGCCAGTCGGATTGTTGATGGCAACTTTGATGGTAAACCATCACCTTACTTCATTGGAAGCACAATAATAGAAATGTTTTTATATAAGTTTTCATAATCAGATAAGTTCTGATGTAATGTTTATGCAATCTTATTGAAAACTATGTAAGGTCCTTATTCTCATTATGTGATGCATGAACTTATGATAATTACTTTGTAGAAGTGATTATCTAGCCGTCATGAGGACGTCATGAAATTTTCTTTAGATCTTTAGACAAGGCAGAGCATTATGCTTTTGGTTATATTAATTATTTCCCTTTTCTTCTCTTATTTCTTTATTTTATTTTATTATAAAACAGATCCACGCTTGACAGACTACGACACGTTACTCCAGAATGTAAATGACTTAAAAGCAGGGAAGGAAGTTCAGGTTCCAGTTTATGACTTCAAGTCTAGTTCCCGCACAGGATTCAGGTTTAATGCCTCTCCATTTAATGACCTGCATAGCTTAGCATATCCATGGACTTCTTTGAGAAAGCTTTTAGAAATTATATTATCTTAGGGTAGCTAAGGCTTTGAAACTTAAGGAGAACCTTTAAATGTCAATTTAACTCTACTTTTCCATTTCAAGTATTGGTATGACAGTATGAGTGTTTTACTTGTTGGCCATGGATGTAGTGAATGGTGAATACTTTTGTGCTCTTTTGGGAGTCTGAAGGACCAAACATCCTTAAGAAGAGAATATATTTTTCCTTTTGTGAATCATACCCATTCCATATTTATAAAGTAGAGCCTTTCTGTGCTCCCTGTTGAAAACTTGAACCTGAATTTTGGCCCTTTGTTTTATAATTAATTTAATTTGTTTAATATTTCTTGAAATAAGTGTTGGTTTTTTTTACTAGTCAACAAAGAGATTGCTGTTTCTATAACTTTTCATATTTTCTGGTCTGGCTTAAATCTTATCTTGAATAATGTGCTGGTGACAGGACAGTTGAAGTCCCAAGCTCTCGGATTGTGATCATTGAAGGCATCTATGCTTTGAGTGAAAAGTTGCGGCCTTTCCTGGATCTACGAGTATCTGTCACAGGCGGTGTTCACTTTGACCTGGTCAAAAGGGTTTTGCGGGACATACAACGAGCTGGCCAGGAACCGGAAGAAATAATTCATCAAATATCTGAAACTGTACTTTTTTTCCCCTTCTAGATATCTGTAAGTGCTTGATAAGTTGTTGCTTTTCCTGAAGTCTGAACTTCTCTCAGGTATATCCTATGTACAAGGCCTTTATTGAGCCAGACCTTCAAACAGCACATATAAAAATTATCAACAAGTTTAACCCGTTTACTGGATTTCAAAGTCCCACTTACATTTTGAAGGTTAATATCTCCTTCCTTTTTCAGTTATTGTAGTTGTGTTGGTATTAATTTTAACATTGAGTTGCTACATCTTCATTTACACTGAAAATTGAATGCTACCTACCTTTTATTGTAGTCAGCAAAGGACTTGTCAGCGGATCAGATTAAGGCTGTCTTTTCTGAAGATCACACAGAAGCAAAGGAGGAGACCTATGATATATACCTTCTACCACCTGGTGAAGATCCAGAATCTTGCCAATCATATCTGAGGATGCGGGATAAAGATGGGAAATATAGTCTAATGTTTGAGGTTTGCCTTTCAAAGCTTAGTTTCTGCATTTTTGTGTGAGAACGGATTATAAAGGACTTGCTGGGGTTAAAATTAAAATTAGTTGCAATGTCAGAAGAGTCCCAAGCACTTGTGACTAAGTAAATTGTATTTGCATGATCTTGCATAATCACACAGTCTACTGCATATTTCAGGAATGGGTGACAGATAATCCATTTGTTATATCACCAAGAATAACTTTTGAGGTCAGCGTGCGACTTCTTGGTGGACTAATGGCCTTGGGGTACACGATTGCAACTATCCTTAAAAGAAGCAGCCATGTATTCTCCAATGATGGGGTGTGTGTAAAAATTGATTGGCTAGAGCAACTAAATCGTCAATATATTCAGGTACAGATAAGCTTTTTTCTTTCTTCTCTGCATAGTCTAGATACACCGATGAATGAAAAGTTCTAAATTGCACAAATATGTAATGTGTGTTTATGTGGCTTTAGTTTCTGAATAAAGTTGAGAACGATTTTAAACATAAATTTAGTGTAACACTTGAAATGCTGTGTCATTTTTTAAGCCAACATGACCATCAATACTAATTATGTCTTGGGAAACAAAATAAGGAAAAGATGGAAAGTATACTTGTTTATCAACCTTTACCCTAATTCAGTGTATCTCTCTCGTTTTATTTATTCTCTATCTTCTCTTTCTCAATCTCTCTTCCGCTTTTCTCTCTCATCTATTTTTCTCTGTTGAATTCTTTTTCTTCTTATTCTGTCTTGCTCTCTTTCATTATTTTTCTTTTCCTGCATTATTACGCTACATTGTATACCCATTGGGGATACAGACAACCCTGTAGACAATTGAGATTCCTATCTGACTGTGTTGTTTAAGTGGCGACCTTTCTACGTATCTGACTCTGTTTATTCAATGGAAGCCTGCCTTATGGTTCATCTTTTTCTAACTCTTACCTCTATGTCATTTTGTAACTCATATTGACGTAACTCTTGTGCATATTGACAAAAAAGGTGCAAGGAAAAGATCGTGTACTTGTAAGATGTGTTGCGGAGCAGCTTGGCTTGGAAGGTTCATACATTCCTCGTACCTATATTGAACAAATTCAACTGGAAAAGCTTGTGAATGAGGTCATGGTATGATAACTACATCTTATCCTCTTTATATGCTGAGTACCAGCCAGGCTATGATAAAGCTCCAACACATATGATGCCTTATCTTGCATCTGCTTTCCTGATCTGATCCTCTTGCAGGCCTTGCCAGATGATTTGAAGACGAGGCTTAGCCTAGATGAGGATCTTGTTTCAAGCCCCAAAGAAGCACTTTCCAGAGCCTCCGCAGATAGAGTTGCCATGAGAAATAAGCATCTCAAGAGGTTTAATTTTTTGTAATCCATCTTTAGTTTAATATCTTTGTGAAATTGTTTAGATGTTGGGAATGCATTTTAACGATGGTATAGAAAACCTATCTGCTGGCTCCTTCATTTGAGATCTCTGATATAGCAATGCATTGATCTCAACTGTAAATAAATAATTTTTCTGAGCACTAGCACAACCTCTTCGTTTGTGTTTCTTTTCACTTTTCTTCAAAGGTTCATCTAGAAGCTAGCTCCCTTAAGCTGATTGACCTGAATTTATTCTGGGCAGTGGTATGTCGCAGTCATATACAACCCAAAGGGACAAAAGTACATCTAAGCTTACAGGATATGCTTCCAACAGTCAAAGGTTTGATGAGAGAAATTCAGAGTCATCAGCAACACTAGCAAGCCAGGTAGGGTCAGTTATAATGGTCCTTGTGTGCTTTTGGCATTTGGTTCCCCAGCAAGTTAATATATTCACTTATCAACATTCTTTTTTCTTTTTCTTTTTTCCCCACCTCATTTCTATTGTGGCAGGGAGTAGTTACTCAGCTATCAGAACAAATGTCTTCGCTGAATGATAGAATGGATGAGTTTACAAATCGAGTTGAAGAGCTAAATTCCAAGTTGGCTGTGAAGAAAAGTTCTCCTAGCCAACAAAACATGGCTCTTCAAGCTGAAACCTGCAATGGCTCTGTTCCCACTTCTTATTTCATCTCTGGCTTAGGCAATGGTTCTTTAACCGGGTCGATATTGCCAAATTCCTCATCTTCGTCGCAGCTGGCTAAGGAATCTTCAGTAATGGAAGAGGTAATGTCTTACTCATTTTACCTTGTGTCAAAACTCACTTGGTTTGTGAGCTATAAGAGTAAAAGGAAACATATGAATGATCATAAAATCTTGCCCAAAATTCAATTCTTGCGTCTTGACTGGTTCATTTATCTTCTTTTTTTTTCTTTTTTTTTCCTTGGCATTCTATCAGATGTCAAGTATTGCACGGGGGCAACGTCAAATCATGCATCAGTTAGACAATCTCAGCAATCTTCTCCGGGAAAACATTGGAGAGAGAAATCGCCCAGTAAGAACTAACAGCAGGAAAAGCACCATTGCTCAACCTGATCAGCCCTTGACAGTTCCTCTTGCAATAACACTAGCTGTTGGAGTTCTAGGACTCATCATATACAAGGGTATCTTTACTCGAAATTGATGTAGTTTCGAAAATCATTAGACTGATAAACCTTTACTTTGTCCCTCTTAGGTTCCACTATAAGTATGTTGCAAGTACTACCCTTCTGCTCGGGAAATATAGTTAACAAAAAGAGGTTACGCTAGAAGCAAAACAGAAGCTTTCTAGCTTGAGAGTTTGCAAAGAAGGGTGCCCTAGCAATTTTGAAATTTTGTGGCCTACTTCCATTAGTTTATAGTTATTACTTTGCTAGTTTCAACATTTCCGATGTAGAGATTGAAGAAAGAGAAATTTCATAATAAATCAATCTTAGAGTTCAATTTTCTTTTTCTCGTAGGAATGATTGCCTTTGATCTATTGCTTTCTCTTGAGTGCTACTAAATTTTGTTACTGCACACATTATTTGTCATAGAGAATTGCATGCTGAGTTGGAGTGGTTTGCTTCAATTTTCAAACTAGGCTTTATGTGAAGAGTTGTACCACCTCTTGCTATACCCATAAATGTTTGTTTGACATTGTTGTTCTGGTTGGCAAAGAGACTGTAAAAATCACCGTCTTGCATTTTTCTTACAAGAACTAAGAAATATTCTTATTTTCTCCCATTCTTCATATAGATAATAACCCTTGAAAGTAAAAGATCAGTAGAGGCTAATAGAGACTTGGGTAATGGCCTTATAATAATGAGTAATGCTCTAAACTATTCTAATTGAGGAAAGAGAATCGGGTATAATGGACAGACTGCCCTTACCAACTGGCATGCTTAACATATTTCAACTCTGACAATCATTGGGCTAGGCCTATAAAGTGCGACTTACGACCCAATCTTTTTCTCAGCTGGTGAGTTCTAAAACCCAACCTAAATTTCTTTTACCCAGAAGTAAAAGATAAATAAAATAAAATCCAAGCCAGACGTCAACTGCGGCTGCGCTCTCATTACAAGCTGATTTCTCTGTACGCGGGAGAGAAAATACTCGGGAATGTAAAATGAGCCACGCTCTAAATTCCCTGTTCTCAGTGTGCCCATGATAGAGTCCAAACCGCCACACCGAACCTGGGGAAGCTCCTGCTTTACCTCTTAACGCAGAGAAATAGTAAAGAATTGAAATTTCAGAAAAAGAAAACAGAGCTCTCTCCTTCACGATTCTCCTCAGGCTCTGGGTATCTAACATTTCTCTTTTTACTGAATATTTATTTATCTTTTGCTGTATAGTGGTATTTGTTCCTTGTGAATTTCTTTAATTTCTTCAGTCCAAAGATCTGACGCCTGATTAATTGTGTTTGTCCGGCTACCCTGGAATTTTAAAGAATTTTGATTGATGTACATGGTTAGTTGAAAGGAGAAATATATATCAGTAAAACCCCTCTGCTCTAAGAAAGCCATAGAAAGCGAAAGGATTTTTAAAAAAAAGGTTTTGGTTTTATGTTTGTTGTCGTTTTTCTATATGAATACTGATGAAATTCACTATAAATTAAGAGTACAAGCTTTATATAGGAGTCAGCTGAATTTTGTTTTCTCTCAGATCCTAATGATGTAAAATCTGTAATTTGGGCATTCGAATATTGGTTTCTTTTCCTCTCTGTTCTTCATGAGCAAATAAAACATATGCAGAAAAATCATGGGTTTTGCTCAATTTTTGATCTTTCTCTAACTTTTTGTAGTTTGATCTTTCTCTAACTTTTTGTAGTTTGATGAATGTTCACTAGAGTTCTTCAACTGCCAATTGGTTTTGTTGCATTGATTTGCGGTTGATTTAGTTTGAATGTACGAATGGGTGATCTATTGGATCGTGATTTGATAAGCAATCTGCCTCAGAGCATTATAGAGAGCATTCTCACGCGTCTCCCAATTAGAGATGCTATAAGAACTAGCTGTTTATCAACGAAATGGAGATACAAATGGACTACACTCACCCATCTCGCATTCGACGAAAAATGTGTCACTTTATCTAATGACCGAACTCTTGTCGAAAGAAGCCTTATAGACTTTATCACTCGGGCTCTCTTTCTTCACCAAGGACCCGTTCACAAGTTCCAGCTTTCTACTTCCTACTTGCAGAGCTGCCCAGATATCGATCAATGGATACTTTTCCTTTCAAGGAATGACATAAAAGAATTGGTTCTTGAATTGGGAGAAGGCGAGTGGTTTAGGGTGCCCTCATGCCTTTTTTATTGTAAAAAGTTGACCCGTTTGGAGCTATTTCGATGTGAGTTGGATCCACCTCCTGCTTTTAAGGGATTTTTGTGTTTGAAGAGCCTCAATCTTCATCAAGTTTCGGTTGCTCCGGATGCAATTGAAAGTCTTATTTCTAATTGCCCTCTACTTGAGAGTCTGGCTTTGTCATACTTCGATAGCTTAGCTCTAAATATTCGTGCCCCAAATCTCAAGTACTTATGTCTTGAAGGTGAATTTAGGGACATATGTCTTGAAAATACCCCACTTTTGGTTGCCATATCTGTTGCTATGTATATGACTGATGATATTGCCGAGCACTTTGAACAAAGTTCAAATTGCAATTTTATCAAGTTTCTTGGTGGCATACCACGTCTCGAGAGGCTTGTTGGGCATATCTACTTTACAAAGGTAACATTTTTATGTGATTTTGTTTGTTAATTATCCCCCTCTTTCAATCTTCAATGTAGGTAATCTACAAATGCATATATGTTTCTAACAGCGATTCTGTTTTCATATGTTTTTGTTTATTTTTTTGTTTCAAGTATTTGAGTATAGGTAATGACCAGGGAATCCTTCCGATTACTTATAACCATTTAAGGATTATTGAATTATATCAAGTAAGTTTTGAAGATATGAAAGAGATACTAGTTGTTCTTCGCTTGATTACGAACTCTCCTAATTTACAGGAACTTCAAATCTCGGTAAGTTACTGTGAACATGTTGAAGTATTACCCTCTTGTTTTTTTCCATTTGTTTGTTTTACTCATGGACATTTTAGTTTTTAGTTTTACATTTCTGTTAATTAGTAAGGGTTACTGCCAACATAGGGTTCCTCAAACACTTTAGCAGCAATAGAAGCATCCGATTTGGATTTCTGGGAGAAACAATGCCCTTCTGATTGCGCATTCGGAAGACTTAAAGTTGTGAAGATGACAGATATGTCTGGAGTGCCACATGAGATGGAATTGATCAAGTTTTTGTTGAAGAAATCACCAGTGCTTGAGACCATGAGCATTACGCCGTGTGCATATGTTTTAGATGGACGTTTGAATATGCTGATTGAGTTGGTGAGCTTCAAACGGGCATCTCCTGAAGCAGAAATTTTATTCATCCAAGATTAAGTAGTGTCTGTCAAGTATGTTTGACGGAGCTGGCCTTTGAATTGTGTTTTGTATTTTTCTTGAGACTTGAGAGTGACAATTTGTTAATATTGTTCAAGGTCTCGTTCGCTCATCTTATAAACAAAACAAATAAAAGATCAGTTCTCATTTAATAACTGGCTGCATATTATAATGACTAATGATATTAAATATGAGTTGAAAATTCAGTTTTTTATTGTTCTTTTGTTATTTGTTTGTATGGGAGAAACAGAGACGTCCATTTCGTTTGTTTGCATGGGGTACGCAGCGATTTTAGTTTGTTCCTCCCAGGACAAAAATTGAAAATGATGTTGGTCGTTTAGTGAGACTAAAATATAAGGAAAAATAAAAATACTGAGAATCCCAGATAAATAAATAAAACAGATAAAATCCCCATCCTGTTGTATATACGGGAACACAACCAGTTTCAGGACTCAAAATTCCATTGAAATCGAGAAAACAAACAAAATTCTGTCCTAGAACATTATTGTTACAATCTCAAGAACCCAAGTTGGATGTTCTGAGGAAAACTATTCACTCAAGATCAATCGGAAAGGGCATGTGACACTCGATCTACACGTCAGTTTCTCATATCTGATTCTGTACAGTCGAAGTTTTAACACAACTCTTTGGAGCTTCAATTTGATGCTTATGATAATATACAACAAACTCAATCATTTCTGACTCATATTCATGGTATCAACTTCCATTCCATTATGGATATCATTTTTCTCTGCTTTCTTTGTTGTGAGAGTAAGTATTATCTTGGTCCAGAGAGTTCCATTGCTTGTGCAAGCAATGAAGAGTCGTCAGTAAGATCAGAGTAGCGCTCGGAAGAGGAAAATTCATTGGCTCTGCACCTATTTGATTCAGCTCTCTGAGAAGCTTCCCATTTCTCTGCAAGTCCATCTCCTTCGAGCATTCGAACGACTTCGGACATCTTGGGTCTTTGACTGGGAAGATTTTGAGTACATAAGAGAGCCACTTGAATCATTTCTTCGAGCTCGATTGGATCATAGTCATTTTTCAGTTCCTTGTCAACTAGCACATCAAACTTCTTTTCCTGTTGGATTTTCTTTACCTGCAGTAAAAAGTGTTGAGTTAACTACATCAACCGAAGCATAAACAACCCTCAAATTTCTTTTGAAACAAATCCAAGGAAAACATCTCTGTCTGGCTCACCCAGTCAAGTATGGCTCCTTTCTGGTTTGCCGCTTTCCCAAACTCCAGAGCTCTTTGGCCTGATATTAATTCTAGTATAAGAATCCCAAACCCAAAAACATCAGTCTTCTCAGAGGACTGGCCAGTTGAGAGGTACTCTGGGGCTATGTGCCCCACAGTACCTCTCACGGCAGTTGTAATATGTGAATCATGGTGATCCAACAGCTTTGCCAACCCAAAATCTCCCACCACAGCCTCACAGTACTCGTCAAGCAGAATATTTGCAGCCTTGACATCCCTGTGAATTATCTTGGGGTCACACTGCTCATGCAAGTATAACAATCCCCTTCCAGCTCCCAGTGCAATCCTTTTCCTTGTACTCCAATCCAGGGCTGGCTTGGCTACAACAGAGGAAGTAAACTATGACTGTTTTATTGATGTATCAAATTTGTGTGTTTAATCATCACTAAATACAAAAGAATTCTAACCAATAAGAGACTTTAATTAAAATTTTGCACGTAGGTAAAACAGCATAACATCTTACTCTATGTAACATGTTCTTAGAAAATTAACAAGTAAACAGAGTGCAGATCAAAGGCTCTTTACCTTTGAGACGCGAAGCAACACTACCATTGGACATGTAAGGATAAACCAAAAGCCTCTCTTTGGCTGTCATGCAAAATCCATAAAGCCGGAGAAGGTTGCGATGCACTGCTAGGCTGATCATCTCAAGTTCTGTCTGAAATTGGATTTCACCGCCTATGGCATTAGCATCCTTGAGCCTTTTGACCGCTATTACCATACCATCTCGGAGACATCCTTTGTAGACATTTCCAAAACCACCCTTGCCAACCAAGTTTTTGCTACTGAAGTTGTGTGTTGCAGCTTGAAGTTCTCTGAAGTGAAACGACCTCAGATTTCCAAGGCAAACTTCTTCATGATGTTGTTCTGAAATTTCTAATTAAGTGTTAGAAAATACAGCTTGTTGAAAGTCTAATTAGTCATCATTCGCGTGCACAAAAGTATACCAACCATTAACATCTAAGAATATCTGTTTGTTGTGTTTTTGCCTCCACCAAAGAAGGAAACCAAAACCAAGAATTAGAAGACAGATGCAGCCTAGGCTTGAGGCAAACGCCAAGGCAATTTTGTGGCTCCTAGGTCTCCCAGCAGGTTGAGCATCTTAAGACACAATAAGAAAATCAAGTTAGGGTATTTGCAAGAAGTTGTTGAATCGTGAAGATAAATAATACTGAAGGAGAGCAAAACGAAAAGTAGATTTTGAAATTCAAAATAGAACCAGAAGGTAACATAACCTTAAAGCCAGTGATGGCGCATAAATTATATAAAACATAAGTGTTTCATTAGCTTAAAACCAAAGCCAAAAGGATGATAATATTTCAAGAAGTGGAGAAGTTCAAAGTTTGAAAAGTAAAAGAAACCGGCAATAAGCAGGAACTATATACTTTGTGAGTTATTCGAGGGAAAAGCTGGCGGCATCCTCGTTGTTTCAAAGCAGTCTTGCTTTATTCCAGCGACACATATCAGAGGATTTCCCACAGCACTGTGCCAATTCAGAAACTAAATAAATGAGTTTTAGTTATTCATCTTCTGTATTGAAGAGGGAAACAAAAAACTGGGAGGAGGAAAAGAAACATTGAAATGACTCACTTGAATGTTTTAGCAGGAAACCTGGGTACTGGACCACTCAAATTATTAAAAGACATGTCCCTAAACCATCAAACAAAATCCACAGAAACCTTAATTAAGATCATATTTCAACAGGAATAGAAAGTATAATTAATCTTGATGTGTGAAGTTTGGAGAGAATTATTACAGAAAGGCCAGCTGGGTCATGTTAGCAAAAGATGAAGGAATTGCACCGGAGAGAGTGTTATTGTTTAGCCGCCTGCTTGCAACATAAATAACCATTAGGACCATCCACTAAAATACACTTCCAAACTATTTGACTATGTTTCTTTTCTCAGTGACTGATACTTTCAGTTTTGGAAACAAAATTTCTGAATTGAACTCACAGGTATTGTAGGCTTTTCAAGTGGGATAGAGTGCTGGGAATTTGACCATTGAACAAGTTGCTGGACAGATCAAGTGTTTGAAGCTTTTGGAGCTTCCCAAGCTCTGGGGGGATTGATCCTGTTATATGGTTATCCTGAAATGTTCTGCAAAACACATTTTTCAGTAAAATATATAGGATATTCAGATACAGATATATTGCTTTAAAAATAATTGATTGCTCACACAAGCTGAAGATTTGTCAAGTTTCCTATGCTAGGTGACAAAGTGCCTGATAAATTCTGGCTTGGAGTTCCCCTGCACAAAAACCATTGCAAACTACATAAGATATTTATTAATGCATGGTGCATTTTTCAATTTCTTAATTAGTGTTTTGGTGTTTTCCAGCACTACTCACAGGCCAATGACTAAACCATCAAGAGAACAAGTGACCATATTCCAGATGCAGGGGTCCACAGAAGTTTCATCCCAATTTTTAAGAACACCACGAGGATCCTTCAGAGCCTCTTTAATGCCCATTAAGGCTTGCACTAGAGAAGAAGAAAAACAAAAACAAAAATTGTTTGTGTCCTGGTTTTTCAATGGCTAAGCAAAAATGATCAAAATCTGCAGAATTCAGTTACCTTCGGGGTTGACACCCTTTGGAGAAAGCAAACCAGTCACAGAAGTCGTCCACAAGCACAAAAGGGCCACAAAGCACAAAGCTTTACCTTCCTTCCTAATCTCCATTGAGTTGCAGGTCCAAAAAGAAGAGGTACCCAAAATATTATGATATGAGCTCCTTCTTTTTCAATGAAGAGAAGTAGTTTGAAATTTTGAAAGCTTCCACAGAAGCAATCTGCAACTGGGTTTATCCGATAAACTTCAAAGTTGAAACCTTTGTGTTGTAATGCGTATGATGATTTGCATCAGAGGCTAAAAACCAGTACAACGCCTCGTGCTTTGCACTACCAGAATTGCACTCACTCAAGGCTTACTGACAGACCCAAGAGCCAAGAAGCAGAGTTCTGGTTTGGTTGTAAAAAGACTTAAAAGATAAAGAGCATGCCTGGCCTGCCAGTCACTGGTTCAGTTGAGAAAGGAGAGAATATATAAAAGCTAAAGATGAGCAAGCAACACTCACTAACCAAGTCTAGATAATTGCAAAAGAAAATTCCTTCAATCATGTATTGGGTTAAAGAAAAGGGTCCTGCATTTTTAATTATTTTATTATTCTCCTGATTATAAAATGCAAAGCAAGTGAAGTATTACCTGTTAAGCACTGTAAAAGTTATAATTAGGGCATCTTAATCAAAAAATGACGCTATGGTCAGGTTTAGCTCTTGCTGTCAGTTAGAGAGAGAAAGAGAGGGAGAGAGAGAGGGAAAATCTGCACAGTATTTGGCTCTGATATGCTAAAGCTTCCATAGTGGCTCCCTGAGAATCCAACATTCCACTAACTTGGCCATTTATATTGATTCTCAAATTCGGTCGTATATTTTTCTAATAATTATTAAATAAAGTTGAATATATAGGCTCAAGGTCACATTTTCAGTCGATTCTGTTTCGTTTTAACTTGACCAAACTGAATAAAGAGACTATCATCATCGAATCAAA